TATTTTTGTTGAGAAAAATGGAAAATTACAATAGTGCCTTAGTGGTTATGATCTTCCGAATTTCTTGTGTGTGAATAGTTTAGGTACAAATCAGTTCAGATCTGTGTAAAATCGTAAAATAAGGCAATTACCAATGGAAATTGACAAGCTGTTCAATGTTGTTAAAAGTTATTATTCTATTGTAAACAAACGGTTTGGTTGACGTTTCCTCTCGAACTTGCCTGGCACCCTCTGATTGATTTTAATTTATTTTATTTTCCAACACTGGAGTGACTCCCGTGTAAACTCAAACATAAATTACATGAGGAAATCTCTGAGCTGACATGTCCTGTCCAAGCTCAACACTAGTGCCCATCTGGGTACTGCGGACTCATAGTACGTTCAGACTATGGCAAATTTTCACCGGAAATCGTAGGTATGACTTTTGATATCAAGTTAGTCTATTTTACATGATATCAGCTAAATTCTGAGCGTACTATCACCTTAGAGGTAACTCTAAGACTAGTAGGTCCCGAAAAAACGTGCTCAACTTTTTCGCTCAGCTCTGGTACTATCTAGTCCCAAGCTAGTCGATTCACCTCTCGAAATATAGGAAAATCCAATAACCCCTTATTTTAGCTGTCAAAATTTCATAGCAAATCAAAACAAACATTGTGTAGTACTAGAATTTTGACTAGAATGGGGTACGTTAATCGTTTGCTTGGGACCAATAGGCTAGTCAAGTAGTGAGCCAATTTAAAATCATTAGTTTCATATTGATTGTTGCTATCACTCTATATTGCGAAATTGCGATCGCTAAGCTTGATAGGCTAGGGATCGGTGGAAATCTTTTGAGATAGTTTCGTTCATACCTCACGGAGCGCCAACTGACAGTAACTTTGGGTCAGACTTGTTGAAACTCCTCAAACTCACTGGAAGTTTTAAAACACTCTTGTCCTGCGAGTTTAGCCAGCCCTCACCTCGAGTGAGTGGCGGCAGGAATATGGAAGACGTAAAGCCGGGTTTAGACTAGGCAAGTCAAATGATCAACTCAGTTGAATTCAATTGACTTGAAAAGTTGAGCCTGGTTCAATTTTTTTTTCAATTCAAGTGAGTTGATCAAATCAGTTGAATGGCATGGTTTACACTTTCAATTCGCGTTCAAGTCAGTTGAATTTAACTGACTTGATCAATTGAGGTGCCCTTTCTAAACCCAGCTTAAACAAAAACTCCTCGAGAGAGAGAGGGAGAGTGAACTTCAGCGAAAGGATGATTTCTAGACTAACATTTGAAAGGGGCGGAAGAGCCAAAATGTAAACAAACCATATTTTGCCACATATAGAGAGAATAGTTCACAAACTACTCAATACACACGAAAAAGTAGAAGAAAATATCTAGACTAACATTTGAAAAGGGCGTAATTCCAAAATGACCATATCGAGAAAATCGCTTCTGAATTTTGTTGACCTAAAAATTAATCCTATTTCACGACTTTCCATTTTCTGGTTGATTTTATTAGCTTGACATATAGTTAATAGTGTAATCGATCATCATGCATCATCAAAAACTCAAAAAAAGTTTTCTTTGTCGTGAAATTGAGCAGAAAACATCATTCGCCCTGATAATTTCATACATGTTGTTACCCCCCAGATCTTCCACCCTTTGAACTGCCAACACTGGTGATACGCCGTGGAAGTACAAGCTCGGGATTTTTTGTTTGTTGTTCCGCCTTGGTTCTTCGTTCGCAAATTTTGTGAGAGTGGAATTACGCCCGGAGATTTTTTGGTCTTCTTTTTGTTCGTTGTTTACACGTGAACTATCAATCGGATGCATTTCAAATGAATCGGACGTGACTAGATACTACAGAATCAATACGTTTGGCATAATAAAACGATATAATTCGTAGTTCTGGTCCAAGGCGTAACAACCAGATGCATCATAGAGTTGAAAGTTGGAAATACGCCATGTAAGAAGAAACGTTTTTGATGATTTGAAGTGATATTTTCTTCTACGTTTTCGTGTTTATCGAGTAGTTTGTGAACTATTCTCTCTATATGTGACAAAATATGGTTTGTTTACATTTTGGCTCTTCCGCCCCTTTCAAATGTTAGTCTAGATATCACTTCAAATCATCAAAAACGTTTCTTCTTACATGGCGTATTTCCAACTTTCAACTCTATGATGCATCTGGTTGTTACGCCTTGGACCAGAACTACGAATTATATCGTTTTATTATGCCAAACGTATTGATTCTGTAGTATCTAGTCACGTCCGATTCATTTGAAATGCATCCGATTGATAGTTCACGTGTAAACAACGAACAAAAAGAAGACCAAAAAATCTCCGGGCGTAATTCCACTCTCACAAAATTTGCGAACGAAGAACCAAGGCGGAACAACAAACAAAAAATCCCGAGGGTGTACTTCCACGGCGTATCACCAGTGTTCGCAGTTCAAAGGGTGGAAGATCTGGGGGGTAACAACATGTATGAAATTATCAGGGCGAATGATGTTTTCTTCTCAATTTCACGACAAAGAAAACTTTTTTTGAGTTTTTGGTGATGCATGATGATCGATTACACTATTAACTATATGTCAAGCTAATAAAATCAACCAGAAAATGGAATGTCGTGAAATAGGATTAATTTTTAGGTCAACAAAATTCAGAAGCGATTTTCTCGATATGGTCATTTTGGAATTACGCCCTTTTCAAATGTGAGTCTAGATTTGACGTGATGTGAGCTTTTCGAGACTCTGGATGACTTTTTTGTTCGACACAAGAAGCTCAGAGTTTAACGGCGCCGGTGGTGTAGTGGTAAGCGTGATTACCTCTCACCCCAGCAGGCCTGGGTTCAATCCCAGTCGGCGCCGCCGGGATGTTCTGAGGCATAACATCTCTGATCACGCCTTCCTTCGGATGGGAAGTAAAGCCGTTGGTCCCCGGTTCATGAGTTGATGGGTCGATAGGTAGGGTCCAGGTGTAGGAGCTGCCTTCCTGGCACGTCGGTAGCATTGGTGCTCAGCACGGAAAACAAGATCGACGGAAAAAACAAACCAAAGGACAAGAAGCTCAGAGTTCACCCAGAATGAGAGTAAGAGCGTGTGATAGAAAACATGAACATGAATGACAGGCTAATGAGGCTAATGAATCAAGTAATGAATAGTTAAGACTCAAGCAGCTCAGTTAGAAATGGTTTATGAACCAGATAAACAAAAATGTATCGAATGAACCGATTCAGATTATTTTGAACCAATCCTGCTCATATGGTTCATGAACCATTTGCGTTATTGTGTGCAGAGTTATTTTTCTTTGCTCATTGATTTCCATGATGCAGGCTAAAACCATCCAAAGAGCACAGCAGGAAGCAGGCATGTACGACCGAAGAATGTCAATGGTTGGATGATCATTCGCGGAAATATTCCAAACAAGCCCAGACTGGTTATAGTCGCCAAATAGCAGGGCTAGATCGTTGTGATGTAATCGGGACAATACAGCACCAATGGAACTGATATGGTTCTCAACGCAGCTCAAATTAGATTTACGGTCAGGAGGAAGGTACATAACGCCGATGCTTATCATGATGTGTGACGTCGTAATCTTCACCCATAACTGCTCCAACCATGTGGCAGAAATAGCGCAAAATCTGTTTATAAAGCTGTGGCTATCAAAAGGGAAAGCCGATGAAGAGAATCGATCAAAGTCGCTTACACCCCCTAATTTCGATTAGTTGAGCCGTCTTCGTTCTATATGAATTATGGGAAAATATCGAATACATCGATTTGAAAAATTAATCTAAGTCGAAATGACCACATTCCAGCATAAACTCAATTCATTGCCTCTATCGAAAAATTAAGCGATTTTAAGCACAGCGTTTTATGGAATTCGAAGAGCAAAAAAATCAATTCGATTCGTCAGTTTAAAAATCTTAAAAATGTTCTTTTTCAGGGTGTCTACTCATTTGGCTAAATACTGTTCCCTGAGTTTTCCAGGTTTTTCCAGGGCTACAAAATGTCCAGGTATTGACATTTTTTGGAACTACTCCGCTGGAAACATACTATGAAGGATCGAGTGTAAACGGAATCTAAAGCTATTGAACTGCATCCAAATGACCGAAATTGATAAAAACAGTACTGAATTTTGACCCACCAGACGTTTGATCATAAAAAGCACGAGGGTGATGGACTGTTTTCATTTATAGCTCTTTTATGATAACTGATTCCAGATGATTGTACAATTCGCAACAATATATCAGCGAGACGAAAAAGACCTTTTATTGCAATTGCCGTTGACAAAGTTGCTCATTATCTGCATATACAGGATTTATAAATAGCAGTTTAGTCATGGTGGACAGACGGCAGAAACGCAAGTGGAACAACAGCAATAAAGGAAAAAATATTACATCAACAATGCTTATGACCGTCAAACAAACTATTGATCCACTTTTCCCACCCATCTTTGACTTGCCTGTATTTTATAATTCACTCAGGAAACCCTTGAAGTATAAGGAAACAGACACTTTTACCACCAATTGTCGTGGTCTTTATTACGGCTTGATCCCGTTTTTAAATCCACCGACGCAAACAACTTTTCCTCGTGACTATTGCGTTAATGGACAGTGTGTCAAGTTTATTATGAAACTTAAAAACGTTATCAGTCCTTGAATGATCCAGTTCAATCTGGTAGTAACTTACGAAACAATAATCAAATAATTTCCGATAAATATTATCAATGGACTCCAACAGCGATAAGCAGTTTCGCGTTGTTTTCAGCGAGGTTGTAAAAAGTTCGCTAAGCTTAAAATAATGGCAATTATTTTAAGCCACATACCTACTACAAACTTGCACTGATAGCGAAGATCTCCGTTTATTGGCGGACCCACCTTGAAGAGAGTTCCTTTGTTCGCGCCTAATACCACATCAATATTGTTGCACCCTTACAATTATCGCGAGCAGACGAGCTTGACACACTTTAATCCCCGAGCGTGAGCCCCCTTCTTATCTATTCTCTATTACCCCTTGCAGATTCGTGATTGACGAGAACATCAACGACACCGGTATAGCAATGTTTGCCATTTTCGATGGCCACGGCGGAGAGTATGCAGCCGATTTCGCCAAGACGGTGCTGGTGCGGAATTTAAATTTAAAACTAACACAATCATCACATATCGCATCGGGGAAGCCCGTGGAACCGTTGAGCGCTGTCGCTGCAGCTGATACTGGCAAGGACGCCAAAGATTGCGACAAGGACGACCAGCCAGAGGACGAAATTAACGAACGACACAAGCTCCACTCGAGTCCAACGACCGGCAGCAGTTCCCTGACGCAGCGTAGACAGAGCTTTCGGAAATCCAAGACTGAGGATATTGTAGACAAATCTAGCGGCGGGGGGAATGGTAACAACAATGGCAACAGCAACAACGCGAACCAGCAGCTGGAGACGGATCTGCTCAGCAAGTACATGGGCAATCATTCGCCGATGCGGCAGGTGACGAAGGAGAATCTACTTAACGGGACGACGGGGCAGCAGCAGGCTAAACCGAAGCCCACAACGTACGAAGCCAAGTGCTACGTGTCGAATGGAAGTATTAACTTTGGCAAGATCATCACCGACGAGGTGCTGGCGGCCGATTACGATCTGGTGGAGATGGCGAAAAAAGTCGTAAGTAGCTATATCTAAGGTACCTAGTTTAGAGTTGAAATACTCCCTCTGAGTATTTCTAGTTTAGAGCTGGAAATGATTATGAGCGGTAGTATAGTCACAGACAAACAGACGTAACTCTTTGAAAAACTTGTTCTTGAAAACATAGTATCTCAAAACATAGGACCTCAGTAACGACATCTCTCTGGCTTCTCGCGGAAAACAAGATTGCTCGCTAACTCGCAAACAATATTGCATAAAAGTTCTATAGAATATATAGAAACGTCAAAGTGATCCGATGCCAGCGCTGCGGCGAGTAGTTCGCGGAACTGATAATATTCAAATCAACCGTTAAATGCATGAACGAAGATACACAATTAAGAGTTACGTCTGTTTGTCTGTGGTATAGTTGTCAGCCAGTGGCTTCCGTAACCTCACTTTTTACCTGTGCACCAGATAAATATGGCATCACAGACAAACAGACGTAACTCTTTGAAAAACTTGTTCTTGAAAACATAGTATCTCAAAACATAGGACCTCAGTAACGACATCTCTCTGGCTTCTCGCGGAAAACAAGATTGCTCGCTAACTCGCAAACAATATTGCATAAAAGTTCTATAGAATATATAGAAACGTCAAAGTGATCCGATGCCAGCGCTGCGGCGAGTAGTTCGCGGAACTGATAATATTCAAATCAACCGTTAAATGCATGAACGAAGATACACAATTAAGAGTTACGTCTGTTTGTCTGTGATGGCATCATACTCGAATCGATTGAAAAAAACACTTAATCTTCTAGTTTACTCGATATCTATCCGTTGCAAGCAATGTTTTAATAATTGTTTATGTTTTGCGAGTTGGCGCATAGGTAGATTGAGGTTAAAAAAACACATTGTCATCAACCCGTTTGAATCAGCAGAAACTATTTGAGGATTGTGAACATTGTTCTATCTGATATAATTTTCTTAAGGTACTATTTACAACAGCTATCAAGCATTTCCTAATAACTGAATAGTATTTATGCAAAATTAGCCTAATACAACTGTCTACTGAATTTCTTTGGAACCGGGAAAAAACCGGAAAAATTATGTTCGAGATTCGCTGGTCACCAGATAGACAGCCCTGATCAGAACTCTCATATCTCTCGGCGCTTATGTATCATTTCTTGGGAAATGGTGACTACCGGGATAAATCATACATACCTACTTGCCATTCTCACATAAAGCTTCATCTGCGCTTTGGTCAGAGAGCGTATATAGCGTCGTTTGCCAATTTGGTCATGGCACATTTCGAGTATGAGAGAATGATTGCAGTTAGATCAAAAGTGCCTGAGCAAGCTCTTTCGTGGATTACCCGGAGTTGCGATAGTGAAGGTATGATCACAGACAAGCAGACATAACATGCTTATCTAAATAGCTTTTAACGGTCAATTTGAATGTTTCTTAGTTGATAGTACCGCCACTTGTGGCGCACATAATCAATTTCCTTGCATTTGACGTTTACACACTACAGCCATCTGTTGAGTGTGTTGTTGTTAGCTGTGAAGTAGAAGAGTAAATAAAACACGTCTTTACTGGTCAAGACAACAAACTCAAGTGAGGTTTTTATTCATCCGCTTGCACGGCAATTAGGTTTTGCACCGTCGGGGTTAACCTCAATCTGATGTTTACGTGGACTTAGTCGATTTTTTCTTGGGTGGATTTTCTCGATAATTTTTCAGACTGCAGTGAGATGTAAACCACACTTCTACAATGTCCACGAGTAACATCCTTTCAACGCGCTGTTCCTCGACAATTTTCAAGTTAAAATTCGGAAATTTTAGAATTTTTTTTCGAAAAAACGACTAAGTGCTTGTAAATAGTACCACTGAATTGTCAAAAAGGTTCAGCCGATTAACACTGAGTTCATTTGTGACGTCACGCTGCAGTACCTAATTAGGTTTTGCACCGTCGGGGTTAACCTCAATCTGATGACAGTTCAGTGGTACTGTTTACGTGGACTTAGTCGATTTTTTCTTGGGTGGATTTTCTCGATAATTTTTCAGACTGCAGTGAGATGTACACAGCATTTCTGCAATGTTCACGAGCAACATCCTTGCAATGCGCTGTTCCTCGACAATTTTCAAGTTAAAATTCAGAAACCTTAGAAATTTTTTTTCGAAAAAACGACTAAGTGCTTGTAAACAGTACCACTGAACTGTCAAAAAGGTTCAGCCGTTTAACACTGAGTTCATTTGTGACGTCACGCTGCAGAACCTAATGAATGGTTGTTCAGTTGCTTTTACACTGACTGAATGAACGCGCGATGCTGAATGGCGCAGTGCTGCCATCACTCCTCCTCCATCGCGCAGAGATTGAAGACCAATCCTCTCGCGTATATCCTCCAACTTTACCCGGTTCAACGAATTTGTGAAAATATCCGCCAACATATCCGCTGAAGGGTAATAAGTTACACTTATGTTTTGTTTCTCCGCCAAATCCCGCACAAAATGAAATTTGGTATCCACGTGCTTTGAACGTTTCAGTTCTGCGTTCTGGTCCAACATTTTTATACAGCTTTGGTTGTCTTCGAAGATTTCATTAGCTTTTCAAGCCATAGCAACTCCTGACAGCTTTCAGCCAACGAGATATACTCCGCTTCGGTCGATGAAAGTGCCACACATGCTTGCTTTCTAGCACACCATGAAATCGAACCACCAGCCAATCGGAATAGATAGTCCGAATTCGACTTCCGGTCTTTCACATTTCCGGCCCAATCGGCGTCCACATACCCTTGAAGTTTTTCATCACTGGAACCCAGTCCCAGCTTCAAATCACTTGTCGCTTTCAGGTATCGCAACATCCTTTTTGCTTTCGTCCAATCCGCATTCGTTGGTTTGCTCACCTGCCTTCCAAGAATCGATGTACTGATAGCAATATCCGGCCGAGTATTCATCGATAGATACAGCAAACCTCCGACGAGACTCTGAAACTTCTCATTGTTCGGAAGCCTCTCATTCTCCTCCTTTTGCTGTAAATATCCGACGTTCATTGGAATCCGTGATCTCTAAGCTTCCGCAAGTCCAAACTGCGCAACCAACTTGTCGTGTAGGCGTTGACATGCTTTGTCACCCAAAAAATACTTCACGTCACCAAGTTTTGTGATCTGGAACTTGTTCTCCAAGGCTTTCTCAACTCCATCGTATTCTTCGTTGTTGGATGTAACGATCAACATATCATCCACGTACACCAGGATGTACACTGTGCTGCCGTTCCTCTTCCGTACGTACAGACACGGGTCAGCGTCCGCCTGTTTGAATCCAAGTCGCTTCAGAACATCATTCAGCTTTTGGTTCCAAACTCTTGCTGATTGCCTCAACCCATATAGACTCTTACGCAACCGACAAACTGTGTTACTTCCAACGCGCAGTCCGGGTGGTACTCGTATGTAAATAGTCTCCTCCAGATCACCATTCAAATATGCAGTCTTCACGTCTAACCTGCATTCCGTCACGTCCAGCGACGGTTAGAAGTGTACGAAGCGTCACCTGCTTTGCGACCGGAGCAAAAACAATGTTGTCAACTCCCAGGCTCCATTCTCGCTCAGAGACTTCAGCTCATCATCCATGGCAGCCTTCCAACGGTCACATTCAAGACCTTTTACTGCTTCTTGATAGCTGCGAGGTTCTTCCTGTCGACACTGAACCATCTTGCCATCTGCCAAGTAACGCTCAGGTGGAACACCTTTGGTTAACCTTCCAGAACGACGAGGTGTTTCTACGAATTGCGGAAGCGAGCCGACTCCTCCTGGACAGCGATAGATTCATCATCCTGGCGGAACACTTCACTACCATTAGCATCTTCGTAGAGACTCCGATCTTCAAGGCCACGCATCGTTTCTTCGCAAGATTCTTCTTCAAAGCCACGAAAAACTTCGTCACTGTCTTCACCCGATTCTTCACCAGACACTTCGGATTCAGTATCGGAATCATCCGACTCTTCCAGTTCCTCACAGCTATTCGGCCTTACTGGCAACGGGGGTAACTGAAGCAAATCATCCTCGATGACATCCTGGACATCCTCATTCGACTTCAAGAAACGAGCGTCTCGACTGAAAACAATTTTGTGAGTCTTAAGTCAATAAAACGCCACGCTTTATGCTGCTGGGAGTATCCAACGAAAGTCATTTTCGTTGCCTTCGGCTGCAACTTCGTTCGCTTCTCCTTCGGGATGAAAACGTACGCCTCTGTGCCGAACACCTGCAGCAAGCTCATGTCCGGCTTCGAACCATACCAAATCTCGAAGGGCGTCTCATGTACCGGCTTCGTACAGCAGTTGGCTGTACTGACCGCCTCGGCCCAGTACCAATAGTGTAATCCAGATTCTAAAGGGTGATACGGTCAAAATTTGGTCAAGGGAAAACGCGTGTAAATCGGTGAAATCGTTTATTTAAAAAATCAAATTAAATTTCTTTTTCAAGTTCAATTAGTATAAAATTCAGGAAAAATATTCAGTTAGGCTTCCGCTTTTCCAAATCCGAATTGCCGGGCCTTACGCTTGACCCCTGCCATCAGATTTTGTACAGCCACCTTGTCCACCTTCTTCGCCGCAGAAAGCCAGTTTGCCTTGAACTGCTGCTCGCCCTTAGCAGTTTTTTTGGTCTTCTTTAGGTTCCGCTTGACAATAGCCCAGTATTGCTCAATTGGGCGGAGCTCTGGCGTGTTGGGAGGGTTCTTGTCCTTGGGAACCGCCTGCACGTTGTTGGCGGCGTACCACTCCATGGCCTTTTTACCGTAATGGCAAGATGCCAAATCCGGCCAAAACAGTACGGAACAACCGTGTTTCTTCAGGAAAGGCAGCAGACGTTTATTCAAACACTCTTTCACGTAAATGTCTTGGTTGACAGTCCCGGAAGCTATGAAAATGCTGCTTTTCAAGCCACAGGTACAGATGGCTTGCCAAACCAGATATTTCTTCGCGAACTTTGACAGTTTCATGTGCTTGAAAACATCTGCTACCTTTCCCCTTCCTTTTGCCGTATAA